ACAGCATAGTTATATTTGCTATGATGTACTATATTGTTATCAAGAAATATGGGGTAATGCTTTATTTGGTTATCTAATGATAAGCATACCATTTAATGTGATCGCTGTAACCACTTTGTTCACTGAACAATTAACCTGGATGGAAATGATTATACAATATGTAATCATCATAATACATGCGGCAATAACTGTATTGTCTTTGTTTCAATTTTCACGAGAAACAAAACTATTAAATGAAGCAAAATTCCATCTAGTTCCAATTATACAATCATTGGTAATCTATAATAGAGCCGTTGTATTTGGATTATATGACATTAATCAAAATCGATCCACGATTTTAAGTCTGAAAATAAAATATTCCGATCTATTCAATAGATTGACATTTGGACGAAAATATGGACCTTATGTTTCAACAGTTGGTGTAATTACCAACATGTTTATATTCAATGTAATGTTTATTTGATTTAGTTCATAAAAACAAATGAAACAATTTATTATTTAATAATATTTTAAATTTTTTTCTCACATGAGCAGATGGCGATTACTTATGTTGGTTTATTCATTTTTATATCATCTCATCTTGATTTTGACAATTAAAACGAATTAAAATTCACATCTGATGTAAAAAATGAAAACATATGTCGTGGAAAAGTTATTATTCATGGGAATCGGGAAATTAAAACAAACCATCAACAAACTTCGACACATATAGGCAATGACCAGAAACAACAACCACAACGATGAAATAGTCAGAATATTCGATGAACTCTGAACATTATATATTGTAACATTTCTCTAACACATTATTATTTGCGTAGTAAACAGAATATCTATACATTGTTTTCTAAAAAAGTAAAGTATTTCATTATTTTTTTCCATTAAACTTCACCAATCTTATGACTTTTGTTTTGCAATAAAAAAAATTATTATTGTTAAATTTGGATGATAATTTTTGCCATTATGAATTGAAAATTATTATTGGAAAAATAGAGAGAACAATTTTCAAAATTCCACAATTTATACTACTAGTACATATTGATAATAATTCTTAATAAATTGACAATTTTTTTTGTTATCTAACAGTTCATTCGAGCATGACATTTCGAATCTGTCTATTCTCATTTAGAATTGGCAATTGGTAAATTATTGAAAAAAAAACACTCAGTTGACAGAGAGTTTCAATTTTTTTTTTCTGTATCAAACACAGCACTTTGAAATCTTTGAAACTTTTTGCTTGTTTAGAGAATTGTACTCTAACAAATTCTTTAATTGCAGATATTGAAATTTTTAACAAATTAATAAAATCGTTCTATAAAATGTTTTTAAAAATTCGTCAACTTATTTATTATCAATTGAAAGAAA